TCCAGAGAGAAGACTTGTTTTTTTCCATTGGTATCTTAGCTTCTGTCGCCAAAATGTAAATAACTTTCGTTACCTTTTATGGACAGATGAATCAAATTTTTCAAATTCTGGAATGTTGAATAGAAAAAACCACCATTATTGGTCAAGAGAAAATCTTTTGTTAGTACATCCAAGAGGCCCACAAGTCCGTTTCAGTTTCAACGTTTGGTGCGGTATAATTGGTTCAAAAATTGTTGGCCCGTTCTTTTATGAGGGAACCCTAACTGGTGAAAGATATGTGGAATTTATGTCAGAAATTCTGACTAATTTCTTAGACGAATTGGATCTTATAAGTAGACATCATCTGCATTTTCAGCAAGATGGCGCACCTGCCCACAACTCCAGAGGTACTTATCATTTTCTAAGTACTACTTTTAATGATCAGTGGATAGGAACAAATGGCCCAATACAGTGGCCTCCCAGATCACCAGATCTAAACCCACTTGATTACTTCTTGTGGGGTTACTTAAAGAACCAAATTTACAAGCGAAGGTACGATAACCTTGACGCGTTAAAGACTGCAGTTAGGGAAAAGATAATCCAGATAGATGGTAGGACCATACTTAAGACAGTTCGAGCAGTTGAAAAACGTGCCCAAAAATGTATTGAAGAACAAGGTGGTGTTTTCGAGCATCTTCTTTAAAAAAATTGTTATTGTATTTTGTAAGATTATAAGTTGATGTTGAAAATAAAGTTTGTCGATACAATTTAATTGTTTCAGATTGGAGGCCATAACTTCAACAATTTGTAACCTAGGAGAAAAGTTATTGTAAGCTTTTTTGTTTAAAATTTGATGCTTTAATAGAAAAAAATATAATATACAGGGGTTTCCATTTAAAAAAATGTTATTTTACTGAAAAAAATCAAAATAACGACTCTCAATTGTTTTTTTTTATTTCTCATTTTTACCAGCGTTAAAAATGCTACTAGTTTGCTAATTCAAACAACTTTGTATTTTCACTAATAACAAAGTTACTAATGGTGGACACTTAATTTGGATAACCCTGTATAGAGATGCAGTTTTAAATAAATTGGAAACATTTCTTAAGTAAAATAGAAGAAAGTACTTGTAATTTCAATCAGGACATAGCGGAATTGGACAAGTTTTTTTGCAGACACTACGGAGTATATCTTTCCATTTTTGAATAAAATGAATCCTAAATCGACTTCTTTGTTCTTGGGCTTCCAACCATATTTTTTTAAAGTTGCCGGTTCACTGTTCACGAACTTTCTGACATTTGCGAATAAACCTAACCTCACTTATGCTATTCTATACATTGTCTTCATCATTGTATACATTATATTCATTGTATGCGCAATGTATACATTGCATACATCGAGACGTAGGTGTTTTATTTTTTTTGTACCTCAGTGTATTTCATCAGGAAGAATGAAACAAGCACACTTTAAAAACTACAAGACAGGGGACTGCAGGCAATTTTGCATTGCAATAGACACACAAGAATTGAAGACATGTTAAATGCTCTGCGATGGTTGTCTGTAAGCCAACACCTTTACATAATGGCCATGGCATTTATATTCAAAATTGTAAAAGGAACTTCACAAAATTATTCAGCTGCACCCCTGCGAAGAAACAAGGAGATTCATGCTCATTACACCAGAACCAACTCCTGTATACATCTGATTAAAGCCAATAAAGTGTTCACAATGAAAATAATGATGTACAAAAGTTAACAAAGTTACCAAATCAAATCAAAGGTGCAGAGACTGTCATTTCAATAAAGCACTTAAGCTTAACATAATTAAATTCAGGTGAATTTGTTTTTATTTTATTTTGAACTGTTGTGAGCTACCAAATTTTGCTTGTTGTTGTTATAAAAATCGAGACCCTCTAAAATAGAAGTTGTTACTTACTCCTATTTGACATGATTGCAAGTTATCTAGATAGCCTGGCCTAAAGACGATATGTTTATTTGATTTGTATTTTTTGATGTAATCACCAAAAACCGAGGAACGAGCTGAATACATTCTGCTTAGTATAAATGTAGCGTCTTATAAACATTTTATGGCAGCTTGGCAACAACGCCTCAGTAGTCATGGACGGTCAGCATATAGATCGCTGTTTTTATTTAAAAACCACTAATAGTTCAAGGGCCTACCGCAAAGTTTTTGTTACACCCCGTACTGATAGAGGATATTAAAAACTAGTCAAACTCGCCCAATTTGCTGTTTAGCATCAATATACGAAAGATGTGACTAGTATTCTATCGTAGCATATCTGTAGGAGATGATGTAATAAAAGATTTATGATCAGCTTCCCTACTATAATGATGACTTCCAATGTCAATGGGGCTTACCGACGGACATACATACATACATATAACTATCTAAAACTGTAATGACTCATCGATATTCACGTGAACATCACTTAACTACCAGTAGTCGGCTGTTCATAGGCGGGGTATGAATGTTTAACATGGGTGAACTAGATTTGTCACATGCTTAATAAAGAGTGGTTTGAAACATGTTGTAAGTCAAAAATTTGGGAATTACCTTTATTCATCGCCGCTCCCACTTACATCTGACAGTAATAAACTGTCGCTATCGCTTTCCTCGTTGAAATTGACTATAACTGGCTCTATGATGGTGTCGATGTGGTGGTCAAGCTGCCACATTTTTGTTTCTTCCTTCACAACATGACGGATAGCATTCTGCCAAGCTTCGGGCGTTACTAGCTGTATGGAAGTCTCAAGTAAAACCTTAACGTCTGGTAATTTCAAGGTTGTGTTATGGCGCGCAATATAACCCTTCACTTGAGCCCAGATGAGCTCTATTGGGTTCAGTTCACAGTGGTAGGGCGGTAACCGCAGCACAGTGACACCACATTGACGGGCCATCTCATCAGTCACGTAACTAATGTTCGCAGGTTTGTGCTGTTTAATTTTTTCATACAATTTCGCTTTCACACATGAATCGTCGAACGGGATTCCTTTTTCGCGCAACCATTGCTGCATGTCACTTTTTCGAGATCCCATAGTCGGTACACGTTCGGCTTGATGACTATGGTAGGAAGCATTATCCATGACGATCACAGAGTTGGGCTCAACTCGCTGAAGCACCCCTTGAAACCAGCTCTCGAAGAAGCTGGCATTCATTTCGTCATGGTAATCACCTCCTTTCTTAGAGACGAAAATCAAGTCACACTCTTCTAAAAAGCCACTATCGCTACCAATATGAGTTACGATCAATCTTTGACCTTTTCCTGACGGTCCACGAAGACCTGTTGACAAACCTTCAATGCTTGCTTGTCGGTTACTCACTACGTTTTTGTCTATTCAGGTTTTTTTAACTGTGTGACCTGCATTTACCCATGTCTCGTCCAAATAATAGATTTTTCGGCTTTGTCGCCTATATTCAATCATTTCGCGTAGGTATTTTCGACGCCAGGCGACTATTCCAGGTCTCTCTATCAATACTGACTTCCGATTACGCGTTTCGTAACGAAAATTAATTTCGTGCAGTGATTTCCTCATTACCTCGACGCTCATTTGGGGTATAATTTCATTTTCCTTGATCGCTGCATGTACAGCCTTGAGGGTTGGTATCTCATTCCTAAAGAAGAATGAATGTACGGTTCGCCTTAACGCCATTTTACTATCGTCATCCAATTTAACGGCCTTTCGTCCCTTCAAATTAAACTTCAGAAGTAGCTCCAGTTTTCTTCTCTTCATGCACCACCCTGCGAATGGTCCACTCTGGAACGCCTGTCATACTTTCACAACGCGCGAGTGCATCTCCCTGCGACATAGTTCTGTTCAGATAATTGGACACGTTGAGCACGATTACTTTCGCGTTTCTCTTCAGTGCTTTACGAAGCCGTCTACTTGTTCCCTGGCTTTCAGTACTTCCACTCGTGCCATTTGTACTCTCCATGGTTAAGTATAACCAAAACAGTAACCACAGAAACCACAACAATAACAATCACACAACAATTCTTATAAAAACACACAATATGCGATCGCTCAAGGAAACACGTTCCAATGCGTTGCCGATGCCTATGAGTCTGCCGGTCGAGGCGCGTCTTTGATTTCATTGGTTCTACCGGCGGAGAACAATCAGCCATTATTTCCATCTCTGTCTGTCCTGTTGACCACCGCAAAGCCACAGAAACGACATATGTCGTACGCTATACGGCTGTACTGGAAGGAAGCCGGGATCGAGCTCTGATCACGTGTTGATCACGCGTATGAGTCATTGCAGTTTTAAATAGTTGTAGCATATAGCTACTCTGTTCTATCACTTCACAAATTTTCACTAAATTTGACCGATGCCTAGCCCTTTCAAGAGTACATGTACAGGAAAATCCATGATGTGTGGAATATGTCCAATATTAACACAAAAAATCGATATACACTCCCTCCCGCCCGCAACCTCAAATTTTCTACTAAAATCTAAAAACCTTTGTCGTTGGCATAGTAGTATCCTTACTTACTAAGTGTAAAAATGATAAAAGCATCCGAGTTGTACATGGCTTATAGACCGAGAGAATGAGTAAGTATTTCCGAAATTTTTCGCGAGTACTATACTTCCTAGACAGGGAAAGGGAAGAAAAGTTTATCAAAATTATATAAACTAAGTCTGATGGATTTTCGAGCTCAAAATTAATATAAAAGATAGAAAATACATATTCCATGTTTGAAAGATGGGCACAGATAGGTCGTGAAACAGATAATAAAAAAAATTGCGGGGATGCAAGAACAGATAGTTGCTAACAAGGAGTGTGCATGAATTAAGAGCTGCTACTTATAAACGGTAATTACACTCAAAAATTAATAATTAAACAAAAAAGTAATAAATTACATGAGTCAAAAAGTGGCTTCCTAAAATTAAACTTTAAGTCAAATTTGATTTAGTTAAATGGCAAGAAGAACTTAAAATTAAGCCTCGTGCATCACAAAATTAAAAACTACGTCATCATGAAAAGCTCCCTGAATACTTACCAAAGTAGCTTGACAGTAATACTAATGCCAGCATCTCAGTTGAGTCACTGGAACTGCATATCTCATTAATAAAACAATTCATTGGTTCAATTGTATTTATATGTTATACCAAAAACAGTTTGTTACCATAGAAGGGGCTCACAAGGGAATTAAATGAAACTTATAAGTAGAGATATCGTGAGGATGTTGATACCGTAATTATGGAAAGGGAAAGGACACGATTTAAATTAAATTTTATTACTTCAAATACACATTATTCCTCTATTAATTAATATTTGTGTTATTAGTGATGTAATATTGATTCAAAAAATTGAGTCAAGTATATTAAGTGCCCACGTAACAATATAGATAATGAGTGGTAACATTTTCAGCGAAGTTATTTGTTTGTTTGTTTATTTAGCATTAATGCTACAATGTCCATAATATCCGTATTACACAGTATATCACAAAATATATTATGTCTTCAAGACTACATATTTTTATACGAAATTTCACTTCTATCGATTCTGGTTTTCCATGAGATATTTTTTCAATTTCCCTTTGAACACTTGCACACTGACACACATCTTGATATCATTACTTAATTTATTAAATTCGTACAATGCCTTTTGAAATATTGACTTGCTCGTTATATTGCTACTGCAGTTTTGTAAATGAAAGTCTATACTTCCTCTAGTAGAATAATTGTGGCACTCATTGTTCAATACAATAAAATTTTCTAAGTGATTTGGTAGAAGATGATTTTTCAACTTGAATATGAACATGAAAACCATGTAGGCTATGAAATATTTGATATCTAACCCTTGTAGTTCTTTCAGCATAAAATTTATTCTAGTATATTTATTTTTATTTAAGATGATTCTCATAGCTTTATTTTGTAATATCTGTAATTTTGAAAATACAGTTTCTATTGCAGTGAACAAAATAGTCGACCAATATAACAAATGATGAAGAATGATAGTGCTGTACACAATTTATCGTATTTTGACCTAAAGATATATTTTGCTTTGTTTGTGTTTAGTTTAAGTTTATTTACATTTAACCAATTTATTACGTTCTTCGTATTCTTTAACAGCTCTATTGCAGTTTCAATGTCTTTATTTGATATATATATATATATTAATGTATCATCAGCAAATAGTTGAATTTTGCAGTATTGTAAAATATCAGGAATATCCTAAATATATAAAATACATAGTAATGGACCTAATTTGCTACCCTGTGGCACACCTACCGAAATGTTTTTAATGTTTGATAATGTATTGCCAATTTTAGTTCTTTGACTTCTATTGATTAAATAAATTTGTAATAAGTTGGATATTGAACCTTGAAATCCATAGCAATGCAATCTCGTTAACAATTTCTCCCTGTCCATAGTCTCAAATGTTCTCTTGAAATCTAAGAACAATTTTACTGTAAACTTTTTTTCATCCATATTTTGCCTCCATTCTTCTACTACTATTTGAATCGCTGTTTCAGTAGAATACTTTTTTCTGAATCCTGCTTGAAATTTTGTCAATATCTTATTTTCTTCAATATATTCAATGACTTGTTTATATATGATTCCTTCTAAGAGCTTCTCGACATCTGGCAGTACATCAATTGGCCGCATATTTGTATATCTCAGAATTTTGCACTTTTGGAACAGGAGTAATTGTAGAACATTACCATTTTTGAAAGATGTTCGCCAGGATTTCCATTCGATTTCTTGTAATAGATTTTGAAAGATGGCTGATATTCATTGTTTGGAATTGTCTCATAGAAGAATTACAAGTAACTTGCATGTGACATAGATTAGGATTGATTCCATATTTAATGTGACAAAATGAAAAAGATCGGAACATCAACAAGTACACTAAATGCTAAGCTTCTTCAATATTTGAAACTACTACAGCAAGAGTGGTTTGAAATTCTCTGGGATGACCATGTATCGGTCAAATGATTTTCGTAGCTAATTTACAGTTACGGCTTGTAACGATGTGTAGAGTACTTCGCGTATGAATAGTAAAATCAACAAAACCCCACCTAATAAGCAATCAATGTAGTTCTTGGCCTCTTAAGTACTACCATTAAACCACGCTTAGCGAGCGTACTGCTTTATAAAAAATCGCTCGAGATTGGTTCTCAATAATAATTGCCTTCTCGATCGTAATTGGCCTCATGTAGCCTCCTTGCATATTACAAGAACATTACTGGCAGCATTTGACCATCGAACCAGATAGTACCTATCATTGCATCAATCTCTCAATTATAATAGCGAACTATTAATTGCTGATTGCCGCTGCTCGGTACTTGAGGTTTTTGCTAGCTTACTTGTTCATAGTCCGGTCATTCCACTATTCTGCTAGGTAACAAAGAGAACGACACGAGACAATAGGCATTTCTTTACACCAAATGCCAGGACACCGCGGCTGCTGTGAGGAGCTTAAAAAAACATTAATCCGAGTTTAGTAGAACTCCTTATGTAGATTGTTTTACAAACTAGATACCCTAGCGACGAAGGAGCGGTCATATCGACCGGCTCTGGGTATACGAAGTTCGACACGGTTAGGATGGGAGGCTGATCTGTCTGGCAGGCACAAAGCGCGGTGGCATCATGGAAGAGAGCTATGAAGAGCAAGAGTTATCGATCAGTCGGAGCGACAGCACCTCAAACAAGTGAGCTGTACTCGAGGCTATGTTTTATCTGGGCATTGTACAGAGTAAGGGGGTCATATGCAGAAAAATACTTCTTAGCCGTAAACAAATAACTTAGGTTTTTTTGCAATATTTGAGGAGTAATGTGAAGGCACTCATTCACAATTCTTTGTCGCAGGTCTTCTAATGTTGTTGGCTGAGTAGCATAGATTTTGCATTTTAAATGACCCCACATAAAGAAATCCAAAGGTGAAAAATCTGGCGATCTTGGGGGCCATTCAATGGCACCTTTTCGACCAATCCATCGATCTGGAAACGTCTGATCTAAATATTGTCGAACAAGTAACGCGTAATGTGGTGGGGCACCATCCTGTTGGAACATCAACCTATTCGCAATGTTCCGCCGATCATTCTGATTTTCAATTATGGCTGTTAATGCAGGATCAATGGCGTCTTCCAGTAATCTCAAATACAATTCACCGATCAAGTTTCCAGGTAAGAAAAAAGGACCAACTAAATGATAGCCAAAAATACCAGCCCAAACATTTAATTTTTGTGGCTGCTCTGTATGAACCTCATGATAAATTCTGGGATTATAATCGGACCAATATCGGCAGTTATGACGATTTACTACGCCATTTAAGAAAAAGGAACGATCGTCGGAAAAGCAAGTGTTGAATAGAAAATGTTCATCGTTTATAATTCGTTCACTCATATCTTCACAACATTGTAATAGCCGATCAAAATCATCTTCATTAAGTTCTTGTACCAGGTGAATTTTATACGGATGAAAACTATGGGCCTTTAGAATCCGTTGGACAGTACGTCGACTAACACCACACACAGTCTCCAATTTGCGGGTACTTAACGTAGGATCTACATAAACTTGCCCTAAAACCCCCACTTCTATTGCTTCGTTCCGTATGGGATTTTCAATGTTGCGTTTTTTGTTTTCGACTGACCCAGTTTCCCGAAATTTAGCTACAAGTACTAGAACATATTTTCGATGCGCGTTACTGTTCTCATGTCGCTCATTGAATATTTCTGCTGTTCTATTAGCGCACTGATTATTTCCGAAAAATATTTTGATAAACTCAACTCTTTCTGCTGTGGAATATACCAAGGTTAATTTATGTACTGAAGCGTTACAAGTTATTTTAGCAACAAGGTTTGGTCAAATCAATCGCAAATTATGTACTAAATTCCTATTTAAAATAAGTACGAGATATTTCCTTATCTTTCTTCAAGAAATAACTTTTTTGCCACAAAAAAACGCTCCAATAGCTATTTTCAACAACAAAATGATAAAAAAACCATGGGCGTAGTGAAGAAAAGCATTTACTTAATAAGTATATTCTTTTAGTCAAATTTCTTCTGAAAGTAGTACAAACTAATCTGATGTACCTATTAAAGTCTACTTTAAGCTATAAATCAATAAATCTTCAAAACTACTGAACTGAAGCTCATGTATTTTACATTATTATAAAGTGAATTGAAAGACCTTTAAAATAAGTTATCACTCGACCCCCCTTTCCATTTAAGATTTTAGGGTTGGTGTCACCCCCGCCCAGGGGGCTGCACGTGTTAACGTGATTTTTTGCCAAACTTGTGTCCCCCTCGAAAACAAAATCGACGGGTCTGAGCGCTTTTCCAAAAAAAAACTGAGCTGCTAGTAAATGCATCTGTTTCGTTTTCGATGTGCCATCCTGTATTCTAAGCATCATGTCAGCTGTGACATATTTCTAAGCAAATACTCATCGTGTGTTAGGTTTTTCAAAATCGTATGGTACCTTTTGTGATCAACGCCTTTTTCCCCTTCCTGTGAATCAACTCTTATATTTTATAATTTCGGACTGTATGGCTATTTTCGTTAAGTAGAGCATAATTAAATGTAAATAAATGAACATAGATACGGATGCTCTACAGGGATCGGTCTTAGCACCAATGCCTTTTCTAATCTACTTAAACCGACTCAACCTAAGAAATAAGTGAGCTCGACGCACAATCTATTGTTTGAATCGATCACTGCAAACAGTGTACAGCAACAATCGGTAGGAACTGTGAAGATTTCAGTCCACAATCGTAACGCAGTTACCAATTTGACCGCCATATGGCTGACGATTCTAGTAACTGCGCTACCATTGTGGGCTGAGATTTTTACCGTACCAGTGCTATACACATCTCGCAAGGGCCGATTCTGGCAATAGATCGATAGATCGTACCTCCTGGATAGAGGATAGTTGCTATGCTTTCGTTTGTTGCCCTGAGACGATTGACAAAGCCTAGACCATGCTGATGACTAACCAAAAAGCTCAAAACAGCTGACCATGGTTAGCTGCAAGCAGTGTATGTGTATGTACAATATACCTACTTTTTAGATCCAGATATGCTCTTATCATCACAGGTCTAATGTACAAAAGT